CAAACCCCTCAAGGAAATATGGTTATTTATGGCAGGTTTAGTTTCAAAACAAAGACAATAAGAAAAAGATGAATATAACACAGTTGCTTCCAGCTAGAACTCATTTAAGAAGATTGCGTATGCTATTTGTGCATGTTAATGTCCAGAATTTGTTTCTTTTTTTTTTTTAAATTGTCCATCAGTGTTCATTGTGTGTATGGAAGTAAAATAGGCCTAAACTACATTCATTATGGTTATAAAAAAGGTCTGAAATTTACCTTCTTTTCTCCTCCTGTTTTTAGGGGGCAGAGTGGAAGGCTCAGGCGTCGCTGGCCTTCCTCAACCAAACACAAAACATCGTCATCGGATCAGGCCTGCTGGCTGGCTCCCTGCTCTGTGCCTACTTCGTGACTGAAGGAAAGTTTCAGGTACTTACATTGATGTTCAACTATTTTTTTCTTTTCATTTCTCTACTAGAACCCCTTGAAACTGAACACATGGATGTCTTGAGTTTGACTGTGAAAAATATCTTCTTATGCTAGGTTGGAGATTTCGTTCTCTTCGGTACCTACATCATCCAATTGTACACCCCCCTCAACTGGTTCGGAACCTACTACAGGTAAGAGGAGGCAGAAATAGTGTAAAAATGCATTGCACTGAATGAATAACTGTTCACATTTATATTTAGTCCTGTACTTCTGGGTAATTCTTGTCATTGTTGTTAACTCTTGACTCTGTTTTTACCGCAGAATGATCCAGACTTCTTTTATCGACATGGAAAGCATGATCAAACTTTTTGAAGAAGAGGCAGAGGTACTTTTGAAACTGTTCTTTGTTTGTGATTTTACTTTAAACACTATTATTATCCACTTTTTTATATTTTCTCTATCTGTCCTCTTGTGCAGGTGAAAGATGAAGTAAATGCAGGGAATTTCCTCTACAAACTGGGAAAAGTGGAGTTTGAGAACGTTTACTTCAGCTACTCAAACGGGTTGGTTCACATTTTGATTCTGTGGCCTGGTCGTTATCAACAAGATGTAAACCAACATGTAGATATTTTTTATTTTTTAAGACTCATTTCTTAGAGTTACTCACTGTTTTACAGGAAGGAGATTCTCAAGGACGTTTCCTTCACTGTACTTCCAGGACAGACAGTTGCCCTGGTAAGTCTAAGGCACAGTTTTCCCCCCTTCTCACTCATACAGCTCTGATAGGACTGCACAATTACAATTTCCTGTTAACCTCCCCAGGTGGGACCATCAGGCTCTGGGAAGAGCACCATCATTCGACTCATCTTCCGTTTCTATGACGTTCAGGGAGGCTCCATCAGCATCGACGGCCAGGATATTACCAAAGTAAATGTCTGGCACCAGAACTCGTACATGAGTATTAAGCATTGAGAAATACACACAGTTCACTGTAACAATACATGTAAAACAGTACGTATGTGTGTGTATAAGCTTTACAATATAAGCAAATATCAGTGACATAGAAGGATAACTTAGTATAGCGCCACCAAAGCTAATTAGCAGCTTCTCATATGCATTAGGAGGCACTGTATCATTTCATGTGCAAATAAAGTCATCTAAATGCTATGAGCATATATTAGCTCCTTGTTATGTTGCTCTTGAGATTACCAAGAGCAATATAAGCACAAGTTGCAATGTCTTGAATATAGCTGTATGCAGCTGTGTGTGCGTTCACGGGGCACGCTCTTGACTAGTAATTACTATGATGTTTTTGTTGTCTTTCCTCAGGTGAGGCAGACATCTCTGCGAGCGCATATCGGCGTGGTTCCCCAGGATACGGTGCTTTTCAACGACACCATCCAGAATAACATTCGCTACGGCCGTATCTCTGCCAGTGACCAGGAGGTGGAGGAGGCTGCTATAGCTGCTGATATACATGATAAGATCATGACCTTCCCTGAAGGTAACTTATACATTAACCCGCCTGTCCTCAATGTCAGCATGGTGATTCTTGAGTCACAGTGCCGAGAGGGTTTTATTTTTTTTTACTAATGAATCAATTATAAAGTTGATCTTCAAAGCAATATGAGCAATATAAATCTCCTTAAATGCCTGCCATGTATTTTGGTTAGCTAGCATCCACTAATGCACAAACATGTCACCTCCTACTTGTATTTTTCTCTGGCAGCTTATGACACGCAGGTTGGTGAAAGAGGTCTGAAGCTGAGTGGAGGAGAGAAGCAAAGAGTTGCTATTGCCAGAACTATCCTCAAAGCTCCACAGATCATCCTGCTGGATGAGGTGAGATTACAATGATGTACAGACAGATCAACACTGAATCTAGAAAACATTGTCGCATTGTTGCCCTGTTTGTATATTGCTGTTTATGGCTCAGTTGCTGCTTGGGGGACCAGGTGTGAATGGGTGAAATTCGGGACAGAGGCGTTACGGTTGCGTGTGGTCACATATTCAGAGCGAGGATTAAAGTCACAGTGTCCTGGCTCTGTTTACAAGACGCATGAACCATTATGCACAGGTGACAGGCACGTTACATCATTGAAAAGGATTGGGGTGTTCCTATAGCTTAGCCTACGTGTAAATAGTTAGTTTGAGCTCGTAAATATTTAAATAGTTAGTACCCCCCCTCCCTTTGTTGATTTGTTTTTACCTTTTTGCTTCAAATATGTACAGTGTCCCTGTAGTGAGTTTGTGATTATTTGGCTAATTAATAATAATGAGAAAACACTTAATTTTGAACCCCGATTGATCTATTAATTCATGTAGATGAACTGATAATTTAATGAAAGGACTCTGTCATTCACTTCTTTATTCTGGTGACAGCAGCTGCCTGTGGTGCATTTTTTATGAGTTTTTGGCAGCACACCAAAATACACTCAATACGTTCACAAGTCGAGTCTCACACCATACAAACAGCTCTTGTTTAGCTCAATCATATTATCTCATACTCTAACGGTTCATTTTTGAGACAAACATGGCGGGGATTCAGGACATCTGGTCACCCTAGTTGCTGCTCCGCTTTAACTTAAATGAATAGGCTTTCAGACGCATGTTGCCTTGTTTCACTATCATTTGAATGGCTAAAGTTATTGCTGTTATCTCCAGTTTTAACAAATGATCTCTCTCTGTGTCTGCAGGCCACATCTGCACTCGACACACAGACAGAACGCAACATCCAGGCCTCGTTGGCTAAAGTCTGTACCAATCGTACAACAGTTGTTGTAGCTCACAGGTAAGAGGTGCATGTACTGTAGGGTTTTTTTCTGATAGGTTTTTTTCTGTTTTATTGTGTTAATCTCTTTATTTTAATACGAAAGGTTGTCCACCATTATCGGAGCAGACCAGATTCTGGTGATCAGCGACGGCCGGGTTGCTGAGCGAGGACGGTAAGTGTGCCTTATTGACCTGTCGTAGTCAGTCGATTCTCTTTTTCAATGAACTCCCAAGTGACTCACTTTGTCTCCATCCAAGACACGAGGAATTGCTACTCAAGGGAGGTCTGTATGCAGACATGTGGATGAAGCAACAGCAGGCCCAGGACTCAGATTCCTCGTCAGAGTCAGAAACCAAAGACCGCAAGTCCGAGAAGCTGCAGCCGCCATCAACCTCCTCAGGGCACCACGGCCACTGAATGTACTTATTTTTGTTTGTTTGTTTTTAAAAGCGAACTCTACATTTTGATTCCCCCCTTGAGTGTAAGATGTTGATGGATGATTTTAACACTGAGGAACAATCAGGAAGATGTTATTTATTTTTTATAATTTTCCTGTGTTAGTTTACGTAATCTATGACATCATGTATTTAAAGCTACACAAGGGACACACACAAAGAAGCACAGCCTCAGCACTACATTTTGATGAATTTAGGGGCTAATGATTCTGCTGCCTACTGAACAATATCATCAATGACAATAGGTTGGTGTTAGAAGCTGTCATTTTGTTTTATTTAGCTTTGTTTTAAAGTTTTTGATAGTCGATTTCCGAGCTCTGTTATTTAAAGTGGTACTTTTTTTAAAATATAAATCTGTAAGCCTCTTTGCACTTAGGTAAACCAGGTTGTGCTGCTTGTCTGATCATTGTGTTCTCTTCATTGTTGTTGGTGTCTTCTTCAGTGGTTTAATTAATACACAGAAAGTGAAGAACAAATTTGTCAATTGTGTGAATTTTCTAAAACTGTTTTTTGACTGGCTGATTCTTTACATATAAAGTTGTACAATCCACGTCTGCCTATTTCGTTAAAAACAGTAGACTTTTCTGATGGCAGACATTTTTACTAGTTTAATGGACATTCGATCTGTTGCTACTCAAAAGCTCATGCAGTTACAATACCCATACAATATAATATACAGTCATATACACTATTTATGAAGAGGAATTTGCCATCATTTGAATGTGTAATATCTACCTCATAAAAGGTATTGTTCGTAATTATGTCATTTTGTAAATATTCGGTTTCTTGGAAAAATAAAAGTTTTCTTTTTGCATGTGTTCTAGTTTGTAAAATCAAACATTACAAGTCCCCAGTCCAGTTTTGATCAAATCATGTTAACTTAAAGTTTCTGTATGCATCCATGTGATAGCTATTTTCCAGTTATGTGACGGCTCACATGGTTATTATTTAATTGTAAGTATGGAGAATACTTGTGTCAGTACATATTTTGTTTCATTAGAGAAATATTTATGTATTTATGTAATGCAGATTGTATATAAGGCATGGCAAATTGACGGAATCCGATGCCATTTATCAATAAAACGCTTAAAGTTGCATGGAAACATCAGCAGTAAGTTAAAAATAAACGTGTCATTTGACCAATGGGAGTTTACAACTGTTGTGTAACTGCTCCACAGCGCCCCCCCCCCCTCTCCCACTCTCAACATCTGTCTGGAAAGAGAGGCAAACAGCTGGAGGCTTCAGTCGTCACTGACTGTCCCCGGTCAAGGCGTGTTGTTAGCGGAGCTCTAGCTAGTAGCTAGGCGGGGGCCAAGCAGTCGTATTCTCAACATTTGGCTAACTGATGTTTAATCTACAGTAGATATGGATTTCGACGCTTTATTTAACGAGAAGACATTTCAGTTTTCGGACTTCCAGGAGTTCACGGTATGTTCTTGAGTTAAAACGACGCTAGCTCAACTAATACGGAAGCTAGTGAACGCTAAGCGCCTTAGCGAAGTTAGCTGACATCGCTAAATGACAGCTACTTCCGTTAGCTCCTGAATATGTTGGCCGAGGACTTGAACTAGCTAATACCCAGCCAAGTTAAATAGAATAGTGTTTTTATTTCAAGCTATATAACGCGTCGTTTAAAACTATAAATGTGGAAACAAGCAGCGCTAGCTCATATAGCTAGGCAGCGCTAGTAGTTCGTTAGCTGTCATTTTACACTACGGGCGTGTTAAGCTTTAAAGTAATGCGGCGCTGAGCATATTGCTTAAAACTGTAGTTCATACAGCTAATGTTACTGCTTTTACAGTTTCTTCCTGGACACCAGAAGTTGACTGAACGCGTGAGAAAGAGACTGTATTATGGTCTGGACCAAGACGTTTCTCTAGATGCCCTCTCCTGCCCCGTTACAGGTGAGTTACACTGGGTTAAACAGTAACGTTACCAAGAACTGCGCTCCTCTCTGACGCACTTTCATAAGAAATACTGGTTGTGCAAGTCTCTCCTCTGGCTTGTGTCAGGAAAAGATCATTATCTGTATTATATGAAACATTTTTGGACACTGTGAAGTTGTGCTAGTGTGTAACTCACATGGTAAATTTACAGGATTTATTTATGAACTTT